AATTTGCTCAATAATCAAGAGCTTCATAACCTTGTAATAATTTTCCTTTTATTCTCCCTTAACGTTTGATTCAGGGGGGATACTGTTGGAAGAAATTAGATGCTTATCACTCTCAGGGATTTAAGATATAAAATATGAACAAAATAGTTTTCAACAACATTCTTGATGAAAAACTGAAACTTGAAAATTGCTGACCAGATAAATGATATTTAACTTACTATGAGATTTCCAACTCCACCAGTTATTATTTCATTTGAAGATTCGTTATACACTCCACTGATAAAAGAAAACGAAAAAAAATTCTGTTAAACAATCCATAATCAATATTAGTAAAGAGAAGTGAAATATTCTACCCAGTTTTTAAATAATTTTTGTAAAATGAGACTGCTTAATTGGCAGAATAATAAGCAGTGGCAAAACAAATTAATTATATATGACCAACAACTCACAAAATGTATTCTTTAATACATTAGAATATGCATGGGGCCAACAAACTACAAGAACTGATTTACCATTGCCATATTATTAAAGCTGCAGTTTGCAAAACATTCATTATTCATATCAGAGAGGTTTCTCAAATCATAATTGCATTGTACTGTACACTGTAATTGCAAATTAAGCACAGCCTTCAAATGTACATGAATTATACTAGTTCCAAGTGTGTATTTATGTAAATATGAGAATGTCTAATCATTAATTTTGAAGACAAACAGGGTTCATTCAAAGAAGGTTGATCTACAGTTAGTTACCAATATTATTTAAACACCATGTACATGTACATGTACCTGAGATAGCCCCAGAAGAATTATTATTTACCTGAAAATTCTGCTAACAGAGGTTGCCACACTTATGACTTTGAAATCATCTGACATCAACTGCAGCAAAAAAATATCAGAGAAACAACCATTTGTAATTAATAATGCAATGCACCATTGCTCTGCATGGGTACAAATCAGTTTAGTACATCTTTTTTAGTAACTATCAAGTCTGTTTGACAATACAGTTATTTTTACATGTATTTTTGTGTGGGTTAGGTTTGTTCACCTCAAAACCATCACTCATGTACATGTTTATTTTTCTTTGGTTTATCATCAATGGGGTAGAGTATCAAGGGGAGAACATCAAATCTTAAAGTAGAGGGGTAACTTGATAATGGGGATAAGGTTCAAGTTGAATATGAATTGTAAACATGCTACTGGCATGGAGTAGTATTAATAATTTAAATATGGTGAAGATTAGTGAGAGAATACTGTCATCAATAATGTACTAATGAACTCAATCAATTACTGAAAATGCAGGAAGCTTTAACTGTGTCTTTTTCAGAAATTTAAGCAGGCTGGCCACCATATTAGTGGGGAAAATCCAATAATTTACATTCCAAAGCTTTTTCATGCACATTAGCAGAACAATCAAGATGAAGTTTACTACTGAGTTAAGAGCCATGTGACAGTGATGTAAACCAGATAATGAGTCCACTTAAAGGAACATAACCATTGCAAAACTGAGATCTGATTCACCAAATTACCAGATATGGTGGAAAATACATTTAATGTTTGTATATATATGTCTTTCATTCAGTTTACATATCACATCTGACAATAATGATCACCTAACTGGATTTTGCAGTGATCTTCAGAGTCTCAATTGCTTTGAGTGCATTTAATTTAACCCACAGATGGGCAAAAAATAATTTGCATAATCAAAAGAGGCACATTCAAGAATTTTTGCAAGTTCTCATTTGCTGTTTTCTAATCAAACAGACAGAGACTATTGTAGAATGGAAGAAAACTGGAGACCATTGTAAAAAACACCCTGAGCAAAACAAAATAAACCAGCAAAGGTGCCTGATCAGAGAATTGAACCCAGGCCACATCATTAGCAGCAGGAAGGAATTAGACTCAACCATGGAACTATGCTCCTGCTTCCCTACATGCACTTCACAGTGCTTAACTTCCAATACTTTCTTTTCTTGACGCCTGAGAGCTTACCACCTACGCAGTGACTCTACCATGCCCTCCTAAAAGTGAGCTGTTCTCTATAGAAAATCATTTGAATCATCATTGATTACAAGAGATGCTCACATTTATGTCTGTCCATTAATAAAAAGACGTGTACTTACTCTAATATTTTCATCAAATCCCCAGGCAACATAAAATCTAGGTTTCTTTGCGTATACTATTCCACAGATGGCATCTTTAAGGGTCTTGTTGTTCACATCTTCTCGGTAACCGGTTGGCAGAAAAACTGAGGCCTTTCCATCTTTATCAATTCCAACAAAGTTATGATTAAATGAGTTAAACGCTACAAAGGAAAGATCTTCCTCAACCGGCAAAGAATTCACTGAATGAACGCCGTGTCCTACATGTAGAGACTGTTTCTCATCAAGTTTCTTTGGATCGTCCCCATGCGGTTGTTTAATAGCGGTTTTGATAAGTTTCCAGTGCGAGCTCACTTTCAACTCTGATTCATCTAAAACCGGTCTCTTAGTTCGTGTTTCGATTAACTGCATAAGCTTGCTAGTCATATTGCAAAGCTCGGTCGTCCAATTTCACACAAACGCCAAATTCCTCTGTCATTTGTCAACAAGAGGTACATGTAAATCAACGTTATATTTAACGTTACGAATTTTAACAGGCGCACTTTCCACCTGATATTTCGCAGATTTGTAAAATCCACCTCCTTAAATTCGTCATCTCAATCTTCTATTGTTTTCTTGCAATTTGGACATATACATCGCTCATTTTTAACGCCAATAAACGGCTTTCTATGGGTGCCATCTGATAATAAAGTCAACTGTTGACTCACTATGACTTTCACCACAAGTTTCAAAGTGGTCTCTGTAGTCTAGTTTCTATGGTAACCTATGTCACCAATAGCGAACCACTGTTATATCTTATGCGTCTTATTCAAAAGAGTTTATTTCCGTAGACGTAGCCGCTGAACAAGACAGAACTCATGGGAGGAAGAAGAATCGTGAAGCAAAAAATACAATGTTGGATGAAAATCTCACCCTGTTGTACAAAGATTACGATCTTCGAGTAACAGGTCCATTCAAGATTGATCGATCGCCTCTCTGTAACATCGCATTAACAGACGGCTATGTGAGTAATGTCCACTGTAGCCTGAACATCTCAAGAGAAAATGATTCTCGAGCCACGTCGGTGGAAGGGTATAACAGGGTAATTAAGTAATATCAACTGAGTTGATAACGTAGATTGGCCAGTGTTTGTAAGCTGATGTTTCGCGCTTTAGCTCTTCATTCGCTCTGACAAGGGGCTAACGCTCGAAATGTAAGCTTTCGAACTCTTTACGGTGGCCAATTTACGTTATCAACTCAGTTGATAATACTTAAGTACCTTGAAATAGATCCAGTTCGTTTGATTTAAGTTCCAATTCGGCAATTTGTCAGTAGTCAGGTTAAATTGCAATTAATAATGGTAATTGAACTGAGTGGAGTGCAATTTGGCGCATACGCGTGATTTGAAATCACAAGTATGATTTCAGACCAGACATGCACGACACGTGGTTCAGTTGCCACTTTATTACATCCATTTTGAAATCGCCCAAATACAAGACTTGGTCAGTTCAAATATTTTATTTATATAGTACTTTGAAATTAAATTTATCCATTTTTGGGGGGGGGGGGAGTAAGAGTTTTGGAAACAAAGGTTGCAAATTTTGCCATATGATACTCTTTGTCTTTCATTTTCATCATCATTCTTGCAATTTGATTGGTCACCGTAAACAAGCCTTGAAATCTGATCGGTTCTTTTGTTTTTAGTGTAGCCTCCTCTTTAGCTGGGAAAAGATGCGATTTAAAACAAAAAAAGGTGCCATTCGTGAATAAATCGCACCAATTAGAGGCAATCAGATTACAGGGACTCACAGTGATTTCAAAATGGGTGTAGTAAATCTAGAAATAGAAGGGCTGCATACAATCTCCCAGGAAGATTTGAAGATATCAGAAGTTCCGACTCCAGGGTTACAGCATGTGCTTTCTTAAAGCGAGGGAAGTTTTTATACAACCAGATCTCTCAACCTTACCAATCATGCTTAATCTAGTTACCTTTGTCCCACTTTAATTCTCAGTCATCCTGTAGGTCATTCCTCTTGATCTGGGTTAAATTTTCCAGACCTTCCATCTATCAACATTTACATAAGCCTCTCATTTAGCTAATCCTAGTCTGATGCTAATGTGAGCATGCAGACCGATACTAGTAGTGCTTTAGTATTTTCTCCAAACTGATTTTGTCATCATAATCTTTTCTTATTTTATTACTTGATGCAGTGATGAAGCTAAGAGCCAAGTTCTAATAACAGACCTCAGTTCAAATGGAACATGGATTTCCTTTAAAACAAGCGATTGTGCTGTAAAACTCGAGAAGGGAAAGTCCACTTTACTGGAAGATGGCGATGTTATTTTGCTAACCAAGTCTACTGCATTAAACTTGGTGGCCATCTCCATTAGGTATCATTCATCTCCATTTCCAAGAAATAGAAAGTTTACACACAAAAAGCTGAAGTTCAGTCCGCTAGTGTTAAAAAAGTGAGATTTAAGTTACGAGGTGAAGAGTTCTTTGATAATACACAGGTCCTGATGGAATACCCGGATCGAAATCATAAACAAAGTAAAGAAAGGAATGAGGTGTACAATAATGATTTTAGCTTCAAAAATACTGACACAGAGAGATCTACTGTAGATGGCTCGAGTAACGTAAGTTTAAGTGTTGATGAAACAAATGATTTTGAAGAAGGACACGGAAAACGGGGTGAAGTGCACACCTCTACCTCACAGTTCTTTGTCTGCTCTTCTAAAAGAAGTCATTCGAGATCGTATGTATCTAAAGTACCTAAAAATACGGTAGAACATGATCTCCCTCGACCGCCAGAAAAAGTTGCAAATCATTTAGAGCCCAAACGAACAAGTATTGACAGTGCACCTGGAGATAGCGTTGATTGTGCTAAGTGTACTCACTGTGAGAAATGGATCCCTCGTGTGACTATTTCTTTGCATGAAGCAGTTTGTGAAGGTCAAAGTCTAGAGGCCAAGAGTCAAGATCATATTTCTTCATCATCGCTTCCGCTTGACACTAGTTTGGGCGGAGAGGACAGTAATGCTGAGATTCAGAATTCCGTGGTTGAATTGGTAGAAGGTGAACCGTGTACAGTAGATACTAGTATTGAAAGTATGACTCGTGAATCAGACAGGGCTGCAAGAATGACAAGAGTACACGATGAATTGTGCGAGAAAAAAACACCTGCAATTAAGAAAACGTCTTTTCATCATTCAGGAAAATGTACTGAACCAAAAGTCATTGACAAATCAATTGTTACAAGTTGTAACTCTAGGCGGGAAAAGGAAGTGCGAGTAGAAGAGAACCCTGTAACAAAGATCTCTTGTCCAGCTAAGAAAGCCCAAAAATTAAGTTCCGACTCTCTTCGTAGAGTTACCACACCCATTTTACCACCTGAAAGTGAATCTGGTCTTGAGAGAGTGGAATCCAAAGAAAGATGCACATTCTGTTCCAAATTTTTACCAGTCTCTGAGCTAATTGAACATGTGTCTGAATGCTCCAAGCTGAGTGCATGCGCAGCCTTAGGTGATACGGAAAATATCCGTGAGGCGTGCCCTTACTGTGGAGAAAATTTCAAGGTACTGCAACTTGTGGAACATGTCAGCCACTGCAAGCACATTTCGAGGCGGATAGCCGAGGAAGTCTCTCAGGAGGATGATGCCTCCACTTTCTCGTCTAGCGAAGAAGACGAGTCTGATTTTATTGAAGAATCTCCTGAGAAAGAACTATGTCCTAAATGTGGTCGAGAGTTTCCCATATTAGAGTTAGTGAGTCACGCCGCTGAATGCAAGGAAGAAGAAATGGGCTCAGATTTCGGGTCACTGCGGGGGAATGTTGATAAGGAAGACGTCAGGAGATTTGATGATAGAGAAAGTAAAGACAATACTGGTGACGGTGAAGGTTCTGATATAGATAATGAGAACGCCGATAAAACCGAAATTAACGACCATGGTTGTTACACTCATGAGACATTAAACAATGAAGACGTTGATATTGAGGAGAAGCAACTCGGCAGTAGTTGTGATAAAGAGGAAGTTATCAGAGGTGGTGTCACCGAGAATGAGGAAGGAACAGGTAGTGACAAAGCTGATGATTCTAGACGGGTAACTTACGAAGATAGCACCACTTCTGGTGACAGCTACCACCACAACGAGAATGAAAGAAATGAAAGTGAAAAAGCTGATGCTACTGAAAGAATTTCCAGACGTCACGAATATGCTCTGAGGAAGATAGATTCGGATACGCGTAGAACAAATTGTAGTCTAAGCGAACATCAAAATGATGACTGTATTGGTGCCGTTGTAGCTGCTGAAGGTGATGTCGGTAGTGACGAATATGAATTCTGTCCTAATTGTCGTAAGCTTTTTCATTTGTCGCTTTTGATTGAGCATGCATCAAACTGTACCTCAGTTGTTGATACAGAAGCGGCAACAAGTGGCAAGGACCGTATTTCGACGGATTCACTGACACTAACACTTGTTGACTGCGTTTATTGTGGCATTAGACTGCCAGTAGATGTGATGAGTAGTCATTTTCCCAAATGCGAAAAATACCACTCAAACCAGGGAACAGGCGCACGGCCTGAAAAAAGAATCGCTCCTGTGGGGGATTCACTCGCATGTGTTAAGCTTGTAAACAACTTGAGCAGTGGACTATCTGTGGGAGGTATTGACCTTGAGCATCAAGCTAGCTCCTCAGAGAAAAAAACGTCAGGAATACCAGAAACGACAGAATCTTCAAGAGTTAAAAGGTCTAGGATCGAAGGTGATAATGATGATGGCGATGATGATGACGTTGATGACAAAGAAACAGATGAATCTAAAGGAGTTGTCCTAAAGAGGACAACATCATCGTTGGATTCGTATCATGATTGTGAAGAACAGTGTGTTAACTGTTTGAAGATGTTTGCTTTGAGCGTCCTTGTGGAACATGCCAGCGTTTGTTCAAGCCTTCAGCTGGTAAAGTATCTATACGCAATACTTGAATAATGCCTTCTAAAAGGTGCAGAATATTGACTGCATGACACAACTCAATTGCCCTAAATGCTTGTATTGTGAGCGACAGACATGGACTTCAATTTATTGGGATAACAATCAAGATACCCCACCCAAATTGACCTTTCTACCATACTGGTAAGAGTATTAATTGCTCATGGCTGAATAAGCATTTACAAGTGCAACCAAATTCGAGATGGACATTTCTACACCTATCACTCACTTCACCCAGCTAACCAAAGCTTTCCTGCTCTTCCGACTCTTTTTTTCACGAAACTTAATAAGGCTTTATGAGGAAGGGAATATGCAGCCCGTTTCTTCATTCAATTCGAGTGAAGTTCTCAGAACTAAGTCTTCAATTTTTTGTTTTGAATTTCTGTAGAACACTACGAGTTCAAATGATCTGGAGCAGTGTTATTACTGCCTAAGGACATTTCCTTTGAATGAACTGATAGACCATGCACCGAATTGTGAGCAGAGAACAATCCAGGTTGGTTTTTTTTTAAATTTTGAACCGTTTGATATTTGGGCCTCATTCACTCATATGGCAAAACCACTGTAGATAAGGGTGTTTAAGCTCAAAATATAAGACCACCACAGGCAAAAGCAACCTTTCCTCTCCCTGGAATCCTTAGAATTCTGGTTTTAATTAAAACAAATGTCTTCTAGGAGGATGCGGCTAACAGCCAACCATTAGCAGGCGAACCTCTAGAAAGGTGTATGTACTGTTTTAGAGACTTCCCAATTCA